TTGGTGATATTTGGCTTTTGATTATCAGCTGTTTTCTGCTATGAGTTTCTTGTGTGCTATTGTAGCTTTTCCATCATTTATTGGGCACCATTTCCCCTCTACTAAAGGAATATTCAGATAACCTTCTGATCTGACAGCTATGCACAGCCAGAAGCCCAGTTCAAGCCTCCCTATAATTATCGTCATTGGCAGCATCCGGCCAGGTCCATCCCCAGACGGAGGAAAGTACCTTATCAGAGATACCTCTGTACTCTCTAAGAAGAGACTTAAGCGTTCAGACTATCCATTTGAGAAGGCCTGGCGGATGTGCCAATTAAGCTTAACTTCCTCCTTTCCCAAATCTTACCTCTAGTTCCAGATCTCCTTTTTACTATCAACAGAGGCATCTAGCTGTGCACAGGTTGCCTAGTGACTGAACACACTTTCACCCTCCCTGCAGAAAAAACAGCAGATAGCTTGGACAGATAGGAGCGACAGGAAAAAAGAAGGCAGTTTTATTTTCTCTCATTGACCTAGCAACTTATAGATTCTTAACATTTTCTACCAATCACATTTAAGATTGTAGTTGAGCATATAAGATCCCTCTTCTTAGATATTACCTGAATTTAGCCTTTAGTTAATTCATTAGTCACTTCCTTTTTGGGTTGCAAATGATAATTAACAATTACTGCCCCTCTGTGTGATTCTTACCACCCCTCCGTTTGACCCGGGAAGCCTGGTGGTCACTGCCTGAGGAAAATTCTTACCTACCTTTATGACCCCATGGAGAACAGAGAGGGATATGGAGGATTTTGACCAGAGAGTATGTGTGAACGAGATGGAAGATGAGGAAGAGTCAGATGGGGAAGTACTAGCTGGGTAAGAACAAGCTGAAAAGGACCTAGATGAGGCAGAATTAAGATGAGAGAATTGAGATAGAACTTAAGAGGGAGCAGTAGATAAACATAGAGAGAAATCAGGCAAGAAAGGAGCTAGGCACGAGAACAGAACTGAAGCTGTGTATAAAGGATGTTATGCCAGAGGAATTAAAGCAAGTGGACTCTAGAGCTCGGTGTGCTGAGATTCTATTTCCCGAAAATAGTCCTCGCCATTCTTAGTTCTCTCTCTTGAGGCCCTGGGATGTGTAATATTAAGGCCAGTCCCTCTAATACTGTACAAGAATCTCCAAATTCAGATGTTGATGGTATTTGGAATTAGGGGAGAGATTAGATAAGGTCATTATGAAAGAGTCCCCATGATGGGCCTGGAAGTTTTATGAGAAGGAGAGAGACTGGAGTGAGTGGAGGCTGGCCTGCCCTGTCTCACCATGTGACCCCCTGGCCCCTTGTGATGTAGTAAGGGAGTCCTGACCGGATGACCAGCAGATAGCAGCGCTACCTCTCAGGCTTCCCAGTCTCCTGAATCATCAGCCAAATTGCATCTACTCTTTGTCAATAACAGTTCCAAAAATTTTCTTCTAGTAACAGAAAATGCACCAAGGTTTTCAAAATCTAGTACACAATGAACCCAGGGTGTTTCTGGCAGGCCTCGCAATATTTCGTCACTTGACCTCACTGCAGCCTTGGTTCTTAATACACAGCATACATGCCTAGGACTGTGCATGCCTGAAGCGCCTCTGCTCAGATTGGAGACTGTGGCATGCCATAAGCAGCCATGCTTTTTATAGAATATACAAAGTTTTCTGCTCTTACAGAGCATAATGTTTTAGCTACAGAAAACAAAGACTAATAATTTCGTGTGCTTATTCCTTCTGAGCGTCTAAGTATTGAGCTAGTGTGTCTTTGGATTGCGTTGTGTTAGAAACCTCGATTTTAAAAAGTACTGTTTAATTTCTGACTTTAATTTCATTGCAAACATCATTGGATTAATTGGGGCCAGGTAAGACAGAATTCCCAGCAATTCCTGGTGGGATCTATATATACATCCGCACTTGTGAACTTCATATTTATGCAAAGAACCATTCTCAGTATTGACAATTATAAAATCAGAGTATCTATCAACTCTGAAAAATGTTGAAGAGGTTCTATATCCTACACTATCAAACATTCAGCCAAGATTTTTATGTAAAAATAAATTAGCATATCTATCTCATGTATATGTAAATTTGATTTCCTTGTTAACCAATAGTGATTATCACCAAATGTTTATGATTTGTGTATTTATTCAATATACCTACATATTCAGGGTCATATAAAAATCTCTTGGGTGATAATGTACACCACCATGCCCAGCATTATTTTAGATTGATGTTTATTGTTTTAAATTATGTATAGATGTGTGCGTGCGTCTGCATGTGGGTATGTGCACATGAATGAAGGTGTCAGCAGAGGACATACATGCCAAATCCCCCAGAGATGGACTTAACAGACAGTTGTGAGTCACTTGATGTGGGTGCTGGGAACGGAACCCAGGTCCTCTGGAAGAGCAGCAAGTGCTCTTAACCACTGGGCCATCTCTTTAGTACTACACCCAGCATTTTTACATGGGTTCTGGGGGCTGAATTCAGGTCTTCGTGCTTGTGAGGCAAGTACTTTATCGCACTATCTCCCTGGCCCCAAGGAGATTTTTCTCAGCACTGAAACTGTGGATCCAAAACGAAGAAGAATCTGTGATCTGTGAATTGTGTGGACGTTTTTCCCAGGGGGAGGCAGGAGTGCAGCCTCCAGCCATGTCTGTACCAGATCTAGCATGTCAATCAGGACATCAACAGAGGAGGAGTTCACAATTACTGCGGGCTGCCTTGTAAGTGATATCCCAGAGATAGATGCCAGCATCACTCTTGTTTCTAAGGCAGGAAATATTTGCTCCAAGGAATTGTCACCACCATACCAAGTCCCAGGAGGGGAAGTAGCGCGTCTAAGTTGGCGAATTCAGATCTTTAATTTAGGGTCCTCATGAGTTTGTGCCATTCAGAATTGCACAGCTGTCTCAAAATACACAAGGCAATTCACTTTAAAAAGAGGAGGGAAAGTTACTTTGACTCACAGTTTGGCAGTTTCAGACCACGCCCTGATGCCTTTGGACTTGTGAGAGTGAGGACTGCTGGGGGATGGTCTTTCGGTATGCTGTGAATATAAGTTGCTACTATTGGTTAATAAAGAAGCTGTTCTGGCCTATGGCAAGACAGGTTGTAGCCAGGTGGGAAATTCAAGAGAGGTACAGGGAGAAGCAGGTGGAGTTGGGATAGATGCCAGCAGCCACCCAAGGAGCAAGATGCAGGAGGATGGGTAAGCCACTGACCACGTGGCAGTAGATGAATAGAAATGGGTTCATTAAAATGTAAGAGCTAGTTAGTAATAAGCCTGAGCCATAGACCAAACAGTTTGTAATTAATATTAAGCCTCTGACTGGTTATCTAGGAACAGGCAAGCAGGAGAGATTCGTCTGTTTACAGAGGATGAGTGGTGGCTGGTGTGGCTGGTGAAGGAAGCAGCTGACTTAGAGGCATCTGGGAAGCTAAGAGAGGTGGGAGGGGCTGGGTTCCCACAGCTGCCTTTGAGGACGCACTCCAGATGACTTAAAACTTCATTCCAGGCCCCGCCTCCTAGTGCTCCCCTGCCCCCATGAGCTATGGGCCATACCTTTTACACCTAGACCTTTGGGGACTCTAAACCATAGAAGAATTTCCCATCCAGGTTCCTCAGATCCAGTTCAGCCCCATTGTCTCCAGAGACACATTTGAGCAGAAGGAAATTATTTGCATAATAATCGACAGCACTGGGATTATAGGCATATGCTCCATCCTCAGGTGTGCTGGTCACTTTTTCCAGTGGGGATGGATGCAAGAAAGCTGAGTCTCTGGCAACATCTGCACCAGATCGTGTGTCAGCCACACACTTGATGCAAACCTATTAGGAAAAGGAAAGCGCCACTGAGGAATTGCCTCCATCCTATTGGCCTGTGGGCAAGGTTGCAGAATATTTTCCCAATTAATGTTTGAAGTGGGAGGTCCCAGCCCATTGTGGGTGGTGCCCCCCCTTGGGCAGGTGGTCGTAGGTGCTTTAAGAAATCAGGCGGAGCAAGCCATAGAGAGCAAGCCGGTAAGCAGCTGGCATCTTCCATGGTCTCCGCTTCAGTTCCTGCCTCCAGGTTCCTGCTTGAGCTCCTGCCCTGACTTCCGCTATGATGGACTATGAGTTGTAAAGATGAAAGAAACCCTTCCTTTCCATGATGAGTTTGGTCATGGTGTTTATCACAGCCATAAGATGCAAACAAGGACACTCGGCTTTTAATTTTGGTAAGCTGGGAATCTGAACTCAGGACCTCATACTTACAAAACAAGTGCTTTATTGGCTGAGCTATCTCCCCAGCCCAAGAAAGACTTTTCTGAGTGCTAACTAATGGCATCTCTTTTCTTTGGTTGTACTATGGAGCTTATTCCCCCAACTTGACAGTCTTCATCTAAATTCTGCTCATGACAAGCATGCAAGAGAGAGTCACAAGGCTCTCTCTCTCTCTCTCTCTCTCTCTCTCTCTCTCTCTCTCTCTCTCTCTCTCTGTGTGTGTGTGTGTGTGTGTGTGTTAGAGTTCCTTATCTGTAAGACCTATGCATAGATACTCTCAGAGACTGGCTTATTCTGAATCAGGGAGTAGATGCATGCCGTGACACTATTCTCTTCAGTCAAGTGTTTCTGTTTTCTGACCCCTTTGCACACTTCCTGTGAGGGCATACCATGTATGTCCTGTTATGGACATAGCAATGCTCCTGTATCACATGTGCACTGAAGTCCCTCACTGTCCAATCACTTCCTCCTCTCCAGGCATGTGATTCTCATCTGCATTTTACATCATCTGCTCCAATGCAAGCATCTGTGGGATGACTCTGGACCTCACTAAGAGGGCTGGTGAGAAGAGGGAGGAAAGAATAATGGCTAATCATTAAGTTGGGGTGTGGGTGTTGTGTTGGGAAAACCCAGCTGGCTGAAGACCGGATGCTACCTCTGATTCACAAGCATGGCCAGTGACCCGTGCAGTCTCGCCAAGAAGGAATCACATGCCTTGGATGGCTTCTTTGTTTATTTGGAGAGTTGAAGTAGGGAGGCAGGGATGACTTCTTTGCCAAACCCAGATTTAATTCAACATGCTTAATTCTAATTTAAGGACTGAGCTTGAACCTTCGTGGGAGTCATTGTTTCAGAATGGGGCTCCAGGGAGAGGGAGAGGATTCCTCGTGACCGGTGCTCTTATGACATCGGGTACCAAGAGATGTGGAGGAGGTAAGGCATCTGCACAGGCGAAGTTGGAGGTCCTGTGGATTGTGCAAGGGGGAAAGAAAGGGGCTGCAAAAGGCCAACAGAGGAGACAAGATGTGCAAGATTGCAAATACTTGAACCCAGACCTCAGTTTAAATAAGTGTTAATCATTATTGAGCAAGAAAGTTAGGCCATAAAAGCCAGTTTCTATTTCACAAGTATTAAGTGTGGTTGGGACTGTGATGTTTTAAGTCAATGACCCTTTGGCATTTAGTGTGGAGATGGTGCAGTGAGAAGGATTTCTATTCTTGGGTGTACACAAAGAAGTTGCCACAGAGGCTAGACCAGCCTCTTTGTGGAAATTGTACTAACGCGGAAGGTGCCTGTCCTGATTTCTACCCTATTGTGTTAAATACCCTGCAAAATCAACTTCAGGAAGAAAGGGTTTATTTTAGCCCACAGTTCGAGGCCCAAGTTTATAACCAGTGTCTTCCTTCGCTGTCCACCTTATTCACTGAGCCAGAGTCTGTGAACTGAACCCAGAGCTCACCAGTCAGCTCACCTAGCTATCCAACTTGCCCATAGAGAGGAACCATGTTTCCACCTCCTGGGTGCTGGGATCCATCATGGTAGTCATGGAAATCAAGGTGGCAGGAGCTTGATCAGGAGGGGGGGCGTGATGACTGCTGCTCAGCTCCCTTTCTCCATTGACACAGTTTGTGATCCCAGCCAGGGAATGGTGCTGCCCACAGTGGGCAGATCTTCCCACTTGAATTAATATAACCAAGATGACCACCCACAACTAATATAATCATGATGCCCAGAGACCCAGCTCTCAGGTGGTTCTGCCATGCTGACAGTCAACACTAACCATTACAATACCTGAGTTCCAAATGGCTCACGTGAAAATTGGAATTGGGGATTTTGGTGAACTAAAATGGCATATTTCCCTTGCTCTAGCTCAGCATCAGATGTGTTCACCGAGTTATGACTCAGCAGAAAGGCCCTTGCAGGAGGCAGAGCACACTCTTGTATGAAGCCCACAGACTTCTTTCTTTTTACATTACTCAGTTACAGGCATTTGGTTAGAGCAAGACAAATCCAGGCATAAAGCTCCTTCCACCTTTATTCAATCGCGCCTCTCTCCTGAGTCATGAGGTGGTATCAAGATCCTGGCCTATCCCAGCCACCAAGGTGGAAATCTGAAGAGGCTTCTACTAGGGTGCTAAGTGTCATATGCTAGGCAGTGAAGCCAGTGTGGTTGGGACAGCTACTGTGAAGGACAGAAGTAGATGGGAAACCATCAGGCCTCAAGAGGGAGGATCTTTATTCATATGGAATAAATGGGTGCCTTTAGGCCTCCATGGGAATTTACACATTTGAAAGTTTTAGTGCTGAGGAGATGGCTCAGTGGACAAAGCCTTTGCTATAAAAGAATGGGGACCAGAGTTCGGATGCACAGCACCCATGTAAATGCCGGGCAACTGCAGCAGTCCACCTGTAATCCCAGCAGAGACATGAGATTCTCGTGGCAAGCTGGCTGGGGCAGTTGAGCCAATCAGTGAGATCTGGGTTCAATTGGTAGGCCCTACCTCAATGAATAAAACTGAAAGCAATGGAGGAAGACACTGGACATCAAAACTGGGCCTCCTCTTGCACACATGCATATACATATGTGCACATGGACCCTGTATCCACATGTGTTCCCACACATATACCCACATATACCATACATACACATGCAAAAAAAAAAAAAAAAACCCCTAAAACTCAAAAGAAGAGAAAGCTTCGAGGAAATATAAAAGACTTGACAGCCAAGCTCCCTTTCCTTTGAGCTTGAGTGGGGTGGGTCTGGCATTTCTGTTTGCTGTAAATTCCTGCAAATTCTCTGACAAAGCAAAACAGGGCATAGGAACTTCTCAGGAAGAGAGTACCCGGGCTCTTCTCCACACGGACTGGTGAGGAAGCAGAAGGCATCCGCCATGTTTGCCCACCCAGAAGAGTCCTGATTCTCCACCAAAGAAAACACCTTGAGTTTCAAGTACCTCAGTGTGAAGTAGTGTGTTCTTCACTCTCCACACTAGAGACTTCAGCTTTGCCGAAGCTCCAGACTCCAGGGCATGCGTTTCCCTAGATTTCTCTCAATGAGCTGAAAAGTCACTTGTAAATGATTGGCAGCTGTTCCAGTCAGAGCCGTGGGTGTTAAACTACGGGTGGAGAGACTGAGAGAACCAATTGCTGTCTGAGAATTCAGAAGGGAATAATCGCCACCTCGAGCATGCCAGAGAAACACTCCATGACGGTCCCCATCCTTTCGAACACACTGGGGGAAGTTTAAAAACGTGCGAGGACGTGGAAGAGCTTCCTCTTATAAAGCTTCGTGGGCTTCGTGAATTAAAAAATATGTTTAAAAGAAAGCTGTATTTCCTTATTTGGAAACTAATACTTGTTCGTTGCAGAAAATAGTGCAGACTCATAGCCAAAAACCAAAGAGGAATGAAATGTGTACTTCTCCAAATAACTGATACCTGGGCATTACAGAAGTGTGTGTGTGTGTGTGTGTGTGTGTGTGTGTGTGTGTGTGTGTGTATACAGGTGTGTAAGGATGTGTGTGTATACACAGATATGTGTGTCTGAATATGTGTTTGTATGTACACAGATGTGTGTGAGTGTGTGTGTGTGTGTACACAGATGCATGTGTGTCTGAATGTATGTGTGTTTGTGTGTACACAGATGTGTATGTTTTTCTGAACGTGCATGCGTGTGTGTGTGTGTGTGTGTGTGTGTGTGTGTGTGTGTGTGTTTGAGTGAGTGAGTGAGTGTGTGTCCCTTTGCAGGTGGGCATGTGGCTCATGGGGTTTCTGCAATAGTTTATTGTCAATGTAACGTAACCTCGCATAGCCTAGGAGAAGGGACTTGGAGTATGTCTCTGAGGGGTTACCTTTTTATGTTAATTGATGTTGGAAGACCCACTCACTATGTGAAGTACCGTTCCCTGGGCTTGGACTGGACGAGAAGGAGACAGATGAGCACTCCCATGCATTAATTCACTGTTCTCTGCCCTTGACTGTAGATGCCATGTGACTAACTGCTTCAGGTTCTGGCTGCCTTCACTACCCAGAGATGATGGACTGTGATCTGGGAGTGAGGACCAAATAAAGCCTTTCTCCCTGAAGTTGCTTTCGCCAGGGAATTTTATCACAGCAACCGGAAAACAAAGCAAAACTAAGGCAGCTCCTTCCATTTTCTGTTGTTTATTGTTTTGACACAGACACAAGATCTCATGTGTCCTAGGCTGGCCTCAAAAGCTAAAGGTGCCCTTGCCCTCCCAACCGTCCTGCCTCTGTCTCTCTGGTGCTGGAATCAGTGGCACGCTCCTCCACACCTGACTCCATTCACTCTCTCCATCTTGTCGCCCGCTCCCTTTTCCTTTCTCATGGCTGGGATCTTCCCCCAAAACCATTTCCTGTGAATTCCCGTGGGATCAGATCTTTTATTCTTCCTTTCCTGAACTATTCTACCCCCTCCCGCCCTGTTGCAAGCTTAATTTTGATTTCCAAATGTCATAAAACTGTTTTTATCTGGATGAATATCAGACATAGTCAAACCATCTTGGTCCTCTACAACAACCTCTGGTATGGCTGGTGGCCGGTTTGTGTCAACCCTACAGAAAGTCTGATCCACTGAACTCCTGACCACAGGGTACTGCTCGCTCTAGGACTGCTGGGAGATAGATTTATACCTCAGAAGAGACACAAGGCTCTAGGCAAACAACACAAGGCGGCCCGTCTGCTCCTGTATCCTGCCCTTTCTCCTCCTTTCCCTGGGAACAAAGTCAGCTTCTCCCTTCTGGGATGGAGTGGAGTCAAGCCTGTTTTTTGCTTCTGCTGTGTGATAGGGACTTTCTCAAGGAGACAGGAAGGAAGCAACTTGCCCTTTGAGAATCCCAGGGGCTATTAGTTGGCCCACAGCGTTTTATGGGGGTGTCTATTGGAAACAGACTTCGGCAGAGGTGTGAGGGGAGGTGGACCACACTAGCAATGTCTGCTTCTTATGGAGCATCGAATATCTCCCACTCGGGACCCAGTGCTTGCTGTCCGGCAGCTGAGCAGCGCTGTTCAGGGGCATCTCTCTGAGCCCTGGGGCCTGCCCCTGTCACAGGACAACTCCAAAGGCTGCATCATGTGTCTTCCTCCCACCACACACAAAGAGGCATCAATCCCACACGGATTCTCTCTTTCTTATCATGACATTAATCCCCCAGTCTAGCCATTCCAAAGCTCAGTTCAGAATTACCTCCACAACCTCTGAAGCCGTTACCAGTGTCCTCCTCCCCAGAGGAAGTCTGAATTCTCATGACAGCTCCTCTCCCCATTGCCCTCATTCCCAGCCTCCGGCAGTCCCTACCTGCTTCCAGTCTTTACAGCCTGGGCATTTCTGGAATGCCGGCTGTGGGCTTTTGTGTCTGGTGTCTTTCCTTCGTAATGTTTTCAAGCTTGTCCGTATTATGCATAGTCCTCTTCATGGCCTGATAGTAGGTCATTGTGCAGCATATTTCATTTATCCCGTGGTTTTCTTCTTAAGAACAAACGAGGTCTTCCCAGAGCCCCTGGTGGAGTCCTCTTACCATCTTACTCACTAGAAACGGTCCCTCATCCAAGCCTGCTGGAGTGAGGGAGCTACAGGTTGCTTCTTTTTCTTCTGTTTGGGGGACGTTCCTGCTCTCCAGAGTTCTCTGAATAAAACTTGGACTCTGTCAGCAGGAATGGGTTCAGGGAGCCATTAGGGATGGGTAGTAGGGTGGGCTACAGCTGCACTTCCTGTTTCTGTTAGCTTTCCTTCTGTATCCATGGTGACGCTGATGAAAAGTGAAATTTAACAAGACTTTCCAATATGAAAGGTGCTGTGTACCAAGGAACACACAAAACCGGCTCCTCGCAGTCTCGATTTATAAAAGGAAGTCTTTAAAAAAAGGAGCCACAGTTCCTAAGCACAGAAATAAATCACGAGAGAGGAGAAAAAAGAAGTCCTCTGAAGGTGTGGAATCAGACAGCTGCGCTTTGTGGCTGTGGGTCAAGCCTATCTAACCCACAGTGGTCCTCCTTGGGAGCGGTGGGAATAATTCCACATACTCGCGTGAGGCCCCTCTGCTGTCCAGGGGTGTTTTCTGCATCTGGAAGATCCATAGGAAGCTCTGGGAGCTGGGAGCTGCCACTGAGGGTCGGGCTGGGACTGAGTCAAGTTCGGAATGAGAAGCTCCACCCCGTACTCATGTTGTTTTGACTCTTGCCTCTTAGAAGACAATTATCTCATGTAGCCTAGGCTGACCTCAAATTCACTGTGTAGCTGGGGCTGGCCTTGAACTCCTCTTACAGAATGCTGAGATTGCAGGTTTGTACAGCCATGCCTGGCTCTGACCCTGGGTTTCGTCTTCTGTGTTTTATGATGTTTGACGTCTTTGGGCCTTGGTGACTTGGGACCAGCTGTCCTCCTTAGGTCGCTGGTTCCAACATGTAGCCTTGCACTCACAGGTCATTCCAAAACCCCCACTCCAACCGTATCCATCCTCCATTTCCCCCTCTCCAGCAAATGTCCTCCGTTCCAATGAGCCCAGGCCAGGCACCGTTCACCTGGGGCCACAGCTTACATCAGGAGACAGTGTTTAAACCAGCTCATTGTAGGTTGGACTTGCCTCAGCTTCTTTCTCTTGACAACACCATTGTTTTCCACTTCTTCCTTCTGCCTCCTGATGCCCTGCTGATGGTGCTGCCCCCTTGTGGCCCTGCAGGGCCTGGCATACCTCCACTTAGGATCTGTGGGCAACCACCTGTTCCCTCGAAGGGTCACCTGATCCTCTACCCTTCCCACACCCGAGCAGGAACACATCCTATGACTTTTTGTTCTTTCACGATTTACTTATTTTTATTTTATGCGGATGTGCTGATGTCTGTGTGTTCACATTGTGTGTGTCGGGTACCCAAGGGAGCCAGAAGAGGGCATTGGATCCCCTGGAACTGGAGTTACAAATGGTTATGAGTTGCCCTGTAGGTGCTTGGAACTGAATCCAGGTCCTCTGGAAGGGCAGCCAGTGCTCACAGCCACCGAGCTTTCTCTCCAGTCCCACATCCAATGTCTTAAAGCAATTGTGTAAGTACTCCTCAGGGACTTGGTGGAGGCCGCCCAGAACAGACCATCAACGTGAGTCTTTCTGGGACCTCAGCACCTTGTCATCCACTGGGGTTACAGGAAGTCTGAGCACAGACGACGTCATCACCCAGGCACATGTACCTGGCTCAGGTACTGCCTGGTGGAGGGTGCCTAAGGATGAAGCTACTGTCGCTGCTCAGAGGATCCAGCGGGGTTTTTGTTTTTTGTTTTCATGGCGTTCTTTCCGTTTTAAGCATTCTGACTAAGAGCTAGACCCAGTAGCTATGGAAAAAAGTTTGGTTTCAGGACATTCTTGTCCCTTTTAGCCAATGTCAGTGGCTGTTCCTGCTCGACACAAAATGGGAGAACTGAGGTTCTGGACTCCATGGCCTGGAACTTGTCTCCCTGGTGACCCTCACTGGCTGTGCACACGGGTCTGGTGTCTGTGGTGTTTAGCCAGTTTCTGACCCCTTGTGAGCCTGCCCCCCCCCAACTCCCGACTGCCAGATTGATTTCTAGAATTGAGGTTCTTATCCAACCATTGTTGACAAAAAGATTTGGATTCTCCGAGCTGAGTGGCTGAGAGCAGCAGGAGGAGGAAGCTGCTTCCGCCTGGAACTCACGTCAGCCATTTTCTTTTCTTTCATTTCTTTCTTATTCCTTGTTACCACACGGAGCATGCAGATGAAAGCACGCTGACCCCAGGGGAGCTGCTCAGACAGGCACAGCAGGTTCCTTTTTACTTTCGGCCAGTGGATTTGTTTTTCCTGATGAATTCACTTTTGAGTTCTGTGCACATAGATTAACATTTTTGTTTTGTCTGACTGTAGGGTTTTGGCTCTTTTTCTCTCTATCTAGTTTTCTTTTCTGGGAAGATAACCTGCTATTAAGATTGATGTTCATCCAGCCCTAGCAGGAATGCAGCCATCAAGAAATATGACCTATTTGGAACAACAGCAGAAAAGGAAGGTGAAGGGGTTCATAAATTTTCTTAGGTAAATCAAGTCACTGCTACATAAAATTTGGATTCCAGATCATAAGGGTAGTGAGTTTTAAGCTTGGCCACACAGCCAGGTGACTTGCACTCACATAGTTCTTGTAAGTATAATCTGAATCGGATTTGTCTGCTTCAGGAACTAATAGCTTTATTTTGCTCTCACGCTTTGTCCTATACTGTATCCCAAGAACAGCAGTCTTAGGGCATTACCGCTTGGCAGAGAGATAATGAGAGGTACTGGCTCTACTTGTCCGATGTATTAAATCTCATGGGTAGGTCTGAAACTGTCCAGATGAAGTAGGGGTTGGAGAGATGTCTGAGAAGGTAAGAGCATTTGTTGCTCTTGCAGAGGATCCGAGTTCAATTCCCAGCACCCACAGCAGCTCATAATTCAGTTCCAGGGGATCCAACGTCGTCTTCCGGGCCCTATGGGCACTGCATGCGCATGGTGCACAGATGTACATGCAGGCGAACACCCAAACACATAAAACAAAAATAAATACATTTTAAAAAATATTACATATCTATAGACTATGATAAATGTTTACAAATGTATAATATAGATGTAAAACAATCGAGTCATTTGTAAACTTTAAAAGGCCAAAACATTTGCCAAGTATGAATTAAAGTATTCTTGGTTTCTTAGCATCTATGAAAAGAGAATGTAAGTGAGTCTACTAAACATGTTTTGCCAATTGTTGATATATTACAAACACATGCAACATATTACTAGCACAAGGCGACCTTCTGTGAGTTTAAAAACAACTATTTTAAGTGGATGACAAATATCTGAAAATGAAGAGTCACAGTACATTTTAAACTAAGGCTAATCCCTTAGAGGGATTGACTTCAGGAAAGAAGGACTTAAGATGAGGAAAGATCGTATCTGTCCGTTAATTTAAAATACCTCGGAGTCTGGAATTTGCATATGGGAAACTGATCTGACATTTGAGTTACAAAATAGTCGGCATCTATCTTGGCTAGTCATCTGTTTTTGAAGCATGTCTTTGTGCTTTGATGCAGAGGCCCGTCAATTAAAAGGCTATTTCAAGTAGAATTAGTAGTTGCCGCCTACTCATCCTGTCAATCAAGTGTGCCTGTCGGTGGGTGGGACTTGCTGCCAGCCTCAATGGAGGCGGAGGGACTTGCCTGCTCCTCCGCATCACTGGGCTGCTTCTGTGTTACTATCCCGCCTGCCTTAGACTTTGCAATTTTATTTAATTTTTTTTTTTTCAGGGAAACCTTAAAAGATGGGGGGGGGGTAAAATCTTAGATGTTGTATCTTTTAAATTTGTTTTTAATGAAAGCACAGTGCTTGCATCTGCAAGTGGTGCCATAGTTAACGTGGAGAAGAGCTATGAATAGTCATGAATATTAATTGGCCAATAAATGTTGGGAAATCCACAAATAAAGCTGAACACAAAGTCTAGATGGAAGCAAGACTCTAAAGAGGCTGTAACTCTTGTTTCAACGAGACCTCTTATTGGGGGGCTGAGGGATGGTTTAGGGGGTAAGCACTGATTTGTAAGCATGAGGACAGGATTTTAGAACACAGCATCCAAGCACACAGATCCAAAAGTTTAAAATTATATTTCATCAAGTAGCTAACTAAAAAGATTTATTTTTATTTTGTGTGTATGTGTGAGTATATTCCATATGAGTGCAGATACTCATGGAGGCGAGAAGAGGGGTCCCCTGGAGCCACAGTCACAGGTGTTTGTGAGCTGTATTTGTGGATGCTGGGGACCCAACTTAGGTCTTCTAAGGAAGAGCAGCAAATGAGCCATCCCTCCAGCCTCTACTTGTTGGTTTTTGCTTGTATGTCTGTACACGTGCCGCGGCATGTATGTGGAGGTTGGAGGAGGGCTTGCAGAAATTGCTTCTCTCCTTCTACCTTAGGGATCCAAGTCAGGCCATCAGACTTGGAGGCCACGGATGACATTTGTAATATCAAGATAATTTCTAATTTTTTTTTGGTTACTGAAATTAAAACCTAAAGAAATTAAAGTTTGAACAGCTACCTCTTTTAAAGTTTTTTGAATGGAATTTGACATTTAACTAACTAAATGAGCTTGTCTTCCAGCATATGATATGTTGTGTTGATATGAGGGAAGGTTGATGGTCTTAACATATAGAATTAACCACACTGGATTGATGACTTACGATGTAGTCTGTGCATTGTTAGAGAACGCAGGCCTCCTCTCTTGTTAGTTACTACAGAACAGTCTTGAGGCAGGCAAGTGTAGGGAAGACCAGCAACCTAGGACCTAGCTTGAGCCACACACATCCCCTTCCAGACAAAGCACTCAGCAACCTGGAAGCCCTGTGTGGAGCTGCATGCATACCCTGTGCCCAGAGCAGTTGGCTTCTCTCCTTAAATAACTCCTAGCATTTTAGCAACTTGCCTTTTGTGACCAAACATATCCTGAAAATAGGGGTAGCGTGCTGATTAACTCTAGACTACTTGTGGGTGCACGTATAATCAGGCAAACTGTGTCCTCCGAGGGAACTTTTATTGGGAAAACAAGGGCAAAACCAAGAATCTTATGTACGATCACTGTCTATGTATGATTATGTGCACATGGTTAAAATCAGATGCATCATGGGAAAGGGTGATGAATAAAGGTGCATGTAGCCAAGCCTGTCAATCAAAATAGGAAGCCACCTACCCCCTACCTTTAGCAACCAGCGTCACTTCCTCCTGCCCTGAAAAGGAAGCCTGAGCAGTGACCGGATGCTCCTGAGCCGCTTGCTTGCTTAGGGCCTGCGGAAGTTCCCTTCAGTGTATCCAGTCCGTACCTTTGAACCCTTGCTACTTTGCTATTTGTACGTGTTTCTTCAGTTCTTTGGACCAGATGCCAAGGACCTGGGAACACCCAGTCCAGACAGAAGCTATCAGCAATCATCTTGATTTCCTCTTCTTCATTTCAAAATGAATCCAAAATTAAGATGTCAGGGACCAGGGAGATGGTTCAGTGGGGAAAGCAATGGCCGAAAAAAAGCATTAGGATCTAAGTTCTAATCCCTAGCACATCCAGGTGTGGTAGTG